ATATGAACAGTTTTTATCTCCTACCGATGAGTCCGCACTGATGTTTTTTTCAAAATAGCAAAAAACTGAACCCTTGTCTTCCCACACATCAAATTCTACTGACGCTAGAGCCGCAAAAGTTGGTGAAATGTCAACCAAAGTCTGTATTTTTAGTGGGAAACATGGATCCATCCACATATACACATTTACAGGAACTTTCTGGGGTCACTTAGTGTGAACATTTTGCACTTTTTTCCCATTTTAAAGGGTCAATAATTAGAAGAATGTGGCTGTTGCTGTGAGAAACATTTCTGCCTGAGTCCTCACCAGATTTCATGTCTGTGGGAGTTTTATTTCTGGAGATACTGAACCCTTAACCTGGCTCAAAATTCAGCCAAAAATATCTCACAGAGCTCAGCTCTGGGTTCCAAATAACAAATAAATAAACTCTGGACAGAATGTGAGATGGTGGAGAAACACTGCTGTCTAAAATGACACAAATGGGCTCTATTTGTTTAAAAGGTGATACTGACCCACTGGTAAGAGATAAAAACTGGTGTGTATAAGAGTCCATACGCTGTCATTATATGTGCAAAGCTGCTTCTATGTTGTCTTCAGGTTGAAATTTAACAACATATGAGGCTGATTTTGCTTCAATGAATGTTGAAATGTCGACCAAAGACTGAATTTTAGTAGGAAATATGGAAACATCCATACATGTACACGAACAGGGACCCTCCAGGAATCAATACCACCCACTTTTTTGAAACCGCGTCCATTTAATCACTTGGACCTGCTAGAAACGATTCTGTCGGTCTCCTCACCAAACCTTAAGGCTTTGGGAGTCATATTTCTGGATGTACTGAACCCTTACAGCAGTTTCCCAAGTAGGAAATTCTTTTAAAGGTGAAAACACAAGAATTTCCAGGTCTGAAAACGTAAATACTTCATTTTGGGTCCCAAATAACAAATAAATAAACTGAACAAAATGCGAGATGGTGCAGCATCACCACTACTGCCCTCGTTTTGCACTTTTTCCCATTTTCAAGGGCCAATAATTACAAATTTGTCCTCTGCTGGAGCCATTTAATCATTTAAATCTACTGGAAACTACTCTGTCTGTGTCCTCACCACATTTCATGGATGTGGGAGTTAAATTTGTGGAGATATTAAACCGTTAAAATGCCTCAAAATTCAAATCTGAGACTGTCGAGTAGCAGCACCATCTGAAATGACAGAAACTGACTTTATTTGGACGTTAAAATGATAATACTGACTCATTGGTAGGAGACAAAAACTGGTGAGTATAAGAGTCTATATGTTGTGATCATATGTGCAAAGTTACACGCTGCCTCCATGTTGTCTTCATGTTGGAATTTAACAACATATGAGGCTGATTTTGTCTCACTGAATGTTCACGTCGTCCATACTAGTTTAAATCTTAACCAAAGACTGTTTGGAGTTTACGGGAACTGTTTTGTTGGTGAAAATACAACAAATCCCAGGTCTCAAAACATGTAAAATCCTTCAAATCCAGTCAAAAATATTTGAAGAACTCAGTTTTAAATCACAAATAACAAATAAATAAAATGCGAGATGGTGCAGCATCACCACTACTACCCTCGTTTTGCACTTTTCCCCGTTTTCAATAGCCAATAATTACAAATTTGTCCTCTGCTGGAGCCATTTAACCATTTAGATCTACTGGAAACTACTCTGTCTGTGTCCTCACCACATTTCATGGATGTGGGAGTTAAATTTTTAGAGATATTCACCAATTAAAATGCCCTAAAAACTCAAAATCAGAGACTGTGGAGCAGCATCATTATCTGAAATGACAGAAACTGACTGTATTCTGCCAATTAATGATGTGGACTCATTGGTAGGAGCTCAAAACTGTTCATAGGTTCTATTTATTGTCATGGTGTGTAAGTTAAAAGCTGCTTCCATGTTGTCTTGTTGAAATTTAACATATGAGGCTGATTTTTGCCTCAGCGAAGGTTCTCACACATTCATTTGTCGTCCAAAGTCTGGATTTTTAGCAGGAAATACGGATATATCCATAAATATACACTCACAGGAACTTTCTGAGGCCCAACACTACACTGTTCTGACA